GTTCGAAGACAAGAAATGTTAACTAAGCTTTATAAAATATAAAATCGTTATTGTTATGGACCATCAAAACATTATGAACCCATTCAAATAACCAGTTAAGGGTATGTACAACTTTATTTCAAAAAGATCTATACTTAAACGCTAATGTAAGTATATTAAATAATAGGTAAATGCACCTATTATACACAGCAGATATCAAAAATACACTAGACACGATATATTGCCACAGAGCATATTGTCACATTACTCTTTAACAAGTACCTTCTGTCAATATTTTTTTATCGAAATTTGGACAAATTTATTTCTGTAAACAATTTAATTGGACGATCTGTATATTTTTAGCAAATCGGAAAAATTAATGGATCACGGATCAACTGTATAACTATCACAGATATAACTATATAAAAAGTTTAATGCCAAGAGAAATAAAAGCCAATATGGATAGCGCGCAAAGCATAACAGCACCAAGCTTTGAGGATATCTACAATTGGAAGAATGTCTTCAAATACGGTAGTACATTAATTCACTTGATCTACACCAGGGCTTTCTAGACTAGATACGATCGCAGGGCAACACCAATCACTGTACAGATTTGAAGGCCGCAAAAACAAATACATACGTTCATAGTTCATGTCAATTCAACGTTAAGCAAAGTAAGTTCCCATTTCAGCAAAATCACTGCCTGTTAAGAAACTTTCGCTTAGCAGGATGGACCTAAAAATTCTATTCCTTGCGATTATTTTGCATGTAACTGCAACGTGCGGTATCAGTTAAATGTGATGGATTTCTTAGATAGTGAGATTTGTTGATGTTGTGAAATAAACATCAAAAACTTATAGCTGACTATGCTAAAATGTATACAAATCGAAGTATATATAGTGAAACCTAAAGCTAGCATAACAGATGTATATTTTGGTGTAGTGCACACCAGCCTCTGACTATAGTACCTAGCTGTCTTGCTTGTCAAACACACATTACTATTAAACGTACGCTGTATACACCACTTTATATTTATTTCAATTATGTATTTAGTTTACTACGAGAGAGAGTATTACAATATTCGAGCAGCTCAAATATATGCGCACCCATCTATTCGCGCCTTTAACTCTGGTTAAACACTGAATTAGTTATCGTAGACATAGCGAACATATAAAATATAAACTACAAAATACAAAGCAAAATAAGATAATAGCACAAACAACACAAGTTTAATCCGAACACCAAATACTTCGTACACAAAGAAATGCAAGGCTCAATGTTTATACAGCTGAATAAAAACTTATTTTATAATTCCATCAAGAAATCAAAACTATAAACGAAAAGTGAAATGGATAAAACTGCTTTAATTCGATATCACTTACTTACTTAGTCGGTTATCACAGGCTTGGTGAATCGCCCTTGGCTGTTACCAGTAGCCTCATGCAACCATCCCAATCAGTTACTTGTTATAGTCAGTTGGTAGTACCGAGTGCTTTTATATTATTGGTCACCTAATCCTTCCACCTAAGTTGCTGGCATTCTCTCACACGTTTTCCATCAGCAGAGACCGATGCAAACACCTTTCTAACCGGAGCACTTTCTTCCACTCACAAGCAGCGAAACCATGCGCTTGTTCTATGCGCTTGCTCGAATTCGAATTCGTTCAGTTCGAAAAATATTAAATTAAAATATATTTTAATTTAATTGACGTTTAGAATTGTGCAATATTAATTAATCGAAACAAACTGTCACAGTTCCTGTTTATAATAATAAAATTAATCATTTTTTTAAATTTATGATAGAAGCAACTTATTTTTCTCAGTGTATGAATAGAAGAAACCGGTTAAGAGGTGAATGGTTTGTCGGCTTTAGCGTGGAACCCTTTTTTCTCAAGCTAATTTTTTTGAATGAACTTAACATTTCGTAGTACGTAATTAGTATGCAATGGAGCCAATAATTTCACTAGCAAAAAAGTAAAAACGAAACAACGATATTACGATATAACGATATAGCGAAACCAGAAAACGAAAAGCCAAACTATTGGAAATAAATCGTGCGACCGCGGAATATATCAAACGATAGTGAAAGCCAACGTTAGAAAAAAATGTTCCAGGTTTGCTTCGAGAAATGCAAAATGAGGCAAATTATATGGCAAAAACTTGAAGCTTGAAATTCATGATCGCTACTTCCAAATACAAGCAAATTTGTTTATTAGATGTTATATTATTATAATTATAATTTATGTAATATTTATTATTACTATTATTGTCTTTGAATATTTTTTTTATGTACAACTTAACTTTTTCTTATAGTACAATTTATGATAAAAATTAGATTTTAAAAAATTAAACGTTTTTTTATAGAACTGAACGCTGAGTGTTTAATTTTTCCACCACTTCAGCAAATGATAGTCCATTTTGTGGTTCTAGAAGTAAATTCGAATAAAATACACTTGATCCTGCTTTAAGATATGAAATACCCTTTGTAATACGGTCACTTTTGTTAAACTGCCGTTATGTCGGGGGCAATAGTTCTATCATGACAATAGATGTTTGTTTTTAAAACGTTGGCGTCAAAAGTTTAAGAAGTAGCCACATATGTTAAGTACATTTCTTTACGTAGCCTCACAAAAAAAAAATCGATATCTAAAATCGGAGGCGTGAGATATAGCACCTAATATTGGTAGCTAATTTACATGACCAAAGCGTCAAACTATATAACTGAGACAACACAACCTCGTCTCGTACAACACAACCAAAAGAGTACATATTGTTTAGCTTGTGGCATCATCCTAATAAAACCACCTGTATTCTACATCCATATCATCAATTTAACCCAAAACAAAACTACTGATCCCGTAGCAGATGCTGTCATGTTGAAACTATGTAGTTTTTAAAATTGATAACTGATATTGATAACTTTCAAGGATGAAATGGAAGAACACAGAATAAGTTTATAAGACACATATCATAATGTGATATGCAGATGGCTTGAGTAAGTTTAGAATGTTCTCTCCAGGTATAATACAATAGATCTCATAGACCGCTCTGTATATATATCCTATGATAGTGGCATATTAACCACTTCTTATTAATATTTATACTAATTGTAGTGTTATATACACGTAATAATATAATCGCAGAAATAATTTTTAATAATATGTAACAATATAATAACATATATAATATATAGGTAATAATATAACCGCAGAAATGTTTTTTAATTAATTAAGCTCTTCTATTGAATATAAGCCATCACCTTATTCACCTTAGAGTGTTTTTCCAAATTCAATTTCTTTTATAAAAAATATTATAGAGCATATCTAGTCCTACTCTTAAATTCTTATGACCCATGAAATACTCTTCTAGGAGTTCTTCAGCTTGTTTCTTTGCCTAGACCACAAAAAGGTTCTGTGGTCCAGTACATTCCAGTCGAATAAGTTCAGTTAGTCAATGCAGTCTCATACCAGTTTGTACGTTACTTATACTTACAATGATATTGTAAACATATGATCAAATATTCTATGCTGTACAGGAACCTACAGGAACTCTTTCAATGCGAAGTTGTGGAAACCAGCAGGAAGAAGAAACTGCAGAATCATTTTTTTGTGAATGCCCGTACCTGACTTTTAGAACAAATAGGTTTTTACGACAGTACATATTTTTTTGAAAGCTTGTCAGATTGTTCATGGATGAGCAGGAAAGACATATTAAATAAACCTAGATTTAGTGCTAGACTTTATTGACAAAGCTTTCAGGGGCTTTGTGTAATCAATAGTGAAACTGGTATAATAGGACTCTTCTGACCGCAGTACCGGCTGTTAGACGATTTTGATCTTAAACCTTAATAATAATAATCTCTTGCAATGCCTAGTATTGATAATGCTCAGAAGAAATTTGTTTCGTTTGAAACTTCTGTCATCAGAACAGTTTCAAAACTCTTCTCTAGGTTTAGTTCTAGACTTTATTCACAAAGCTATAAGTGGCTTTGTGTAATCAATAGTGAAACTGGTATAATAGGACTCTTCTGGCCGCAGTACAGGCTGTTGGGCGATTTTGATCTTAAACCTTAATTATAATAATCTCTTGCAATGCCTATCATTGATAACGCTCAGAAGAAATTTGTTTCGTTTGAAATTTCTGTCATCAGAGAACAGTTTAAGAACTCTTCTCTAGATTTAGTTCTAGACTTGATTAACAAAGCTATAATCAATAGTGAAACTGGTACCATAGGACTCTTCTGGCCGCAGTATCGGCTGTTGGGCGATACTATGATATTGTGATATATTATGATATTACTCCAGTCACAAATTTTCCAATGATATACCAGTGATATAGTATCAAGAAATGTCTAAATATATATTAAATTGCAAATGAATATTGAATTGGTGAATTGCATATCTTATTCTTGCAAAAAAAAATCTCATTATGAACTGTTAATGAGTTAATTGTGTATGCTATTTACTTTCCTGTCAATATCACAACTCATCATCACAGATTTCAACACTTCATAGCTCATATGGAGTTAACGTACTGGAACGATTAGTCGAAGCCTGTTTCTCTGTTACATGCAAAAAAGTCATTTCATTTTAAATGTGTTTTCAGTAGCCAAATTGGATAATCTTTCACTTCATGCCACTCACTACTGTCTTGCGTAACATCTGAAATTGCATACGAGCGCTTCATCATCTAAGGTTTTTGCATAACAACTTTAGCTACAGCACATCGCACTGGGCTTCGAACTCTTAACCCTAATACGGCTCAATTTCGAGTTAATCAAACACAAGAAATTTATGAAAAATTTATAAAAACATAAATTTTTATTTTAATTTTTTTTTTTTATTATAAAACTTAAAATTAATAACAACAAATTAAACTGAAAAAAATATTAAATTAACAAATTTAGATATAACACTTCTTCATAACTCTCTTTTTTTCGATTTCTTCTTTTCTTCTGCTTTTCTACTTCTCATTGTTTTTATATTCCAGTTAATTTTTTTTTTTTTTCAACACTACGATTTTCGGTAAATATTATTATTTAATTTAAATATTTTCGGAATACTACATTTAGCTCTTCAAAATTTCATTTAATTCCGTTTTAATTTCTACCGATCTGATCCACCTGCGCTTGCAAATTATTGATCACTTCTGATGGCACTTGATCACCCAAAATTTCGAATAGATTTATTCTTTGATTGCCGGGAATTTGTTCGTATGCGCCCAATTCAATGCCCTCTTGTACGTTCTGTATTTGTGCGTCCTTTGGTATAAGGAAGGTCTGTTGGGCCTGACGTATGGCTTCATTCGTATAGGCAGCGCCCTCGCGTTGTGGGCGACCTTGTACCGAAACCAAAATGGCGCCTAATAAACACAATAAAGCAATTGTTTTCATTGTTTGTAAGCTTGGTGAGAATTTTCAATTAATAAAGATTTCCTTTCGAAATGGTTATCGAAATGCACGTAATGAGTTTTTATGTTTAATCCGTTACCGCTCGATGGACTCGATGGACTCGATGAATAGTCTTGACTGGCGCGCGTTCAACAATGAAATGTTTGTTATAAGGCATGCGATACCGCAGTTTATAAGCTCGGCGTGTTCGTGCTGCAAAACTTTGTTTTGGATTTGTATGCCTGATTTAATGTTGTATTTGTAATTTTTTATTTTTATTTATTTTTTTTACAAAATACGTATTTAATTTTTATTTAACCCGTCACTGGAAAGTGTTCGCTTGTATCTAAAGTTGCTGGTTTCGCAGATGTATGGGTTTGTGTAACTTGAATTTGCAAGTCGTATTCAAGGCACGTCAGATTCATCACTTTTTTATGAGGAAAGCGTTTAAGCTTGGTCACATCTGTCTGCCGTTAATAGGCTTTTGGGCGTGACAACCTTTCCGAAACCATATTATTCAATCTGTTCAATTTAGTTCTTCCATTTAATTTAATTGGAATTGAAATTGAAAATGTCGCTTGCTATGAATTGAGCTTAACAAACTACCGATTAATAATTATTGTAACAAAACTCTGACAAATCAAACAATATCTGTTTATAAAGTAAATGATTTACACTCTGAAGATGTGAAGATACAATTATTTTCCTATAATTTAAAATTAAATTATTGCTTAAGTATAAATTTGGCTTATCGAATTATGGTTTAGTTAAAAGTCTATAGAGATACAGCAGCTACTATAACTAAAAAAGATGTTTAGGTGAGGTTACTGGGACCGTCCGAAGACTCACTTAGACCATGAGGTTCATTGTGATACCCTAAAGAATCTGACACCTGTCCCTATAACCATTTGGTACTAACCACTTTGGTACTAGCCATTGACACAAGCTATGGAAATAAAATTTAGCTTTCTTAGTGAATTGAAAAAGTATGACACTAAGTAGGAGAGTCTATCTCAGGACACTGTAGCAGAAGGTGTATTGGTGATTCCTCTTCATCATCCTCCATGCAATATCTACAATGTAAGCAGGTCCTGATATTGAGCCTCACGGTCCCCTAATAATTCCCACTATCTTGGATAAATTTGCTCGGAATAGGTTGATTAATTCCCCCGATCTTACTATGTTATCATAAAAATTTTATAATTCTAAATAATATTACTTTGTATCATAAATATTATTTATTTCTTCTTCTTCTTCTTCTAAGTGCCTTGTCCGCTTTGAACATTGGCTAACATGACTGTTTTTTTTTTATCCACAGCTTCATGAAAAAGCGAGCTTATACTTTTACAAAACCACTGTCTTAAATTATTAAGTCACGATATCTTTCTTCTTCCCGGGCCTTGTCTTCCTTCAATTCATTCTTCAATGTTTAGCTTGAGTAAACCATATTTTTCTGGATGCCTTAAAATATGACCAAAATATTCTAATTTGCTGCGTTTTACTGTCTCCAGTATCTCTCTTTCTTTGTGTTAAGGCGCAAAAGTACCTCCGAATTTTGCACATTTTCCACAAGTTTATTCAACGACACAACCGTTAACGTCCACACTTCTACACCATAGAGCGATGTAGAAAAGAGGTAACATTTCAGCATCGGTAGTCTTAATGATAAGGATAGCTTTTGGGGAGCATAACAATTTTTTCATCTTTATAAAGGAAGTTACTTACTCATGTTCATATCTTTGCCATCGATCTGTCACATATAGGGAAAGGGTGACAAGTTTTCTGTAAGTAGTCTTTTTGGCATCAAATAATACTCTGGGCGAACATTTAGGAAGGGAGAGGATTACAGACGTTTATCAAACTTTCAAAAATTTGATTAAAAACATGTAAATGATATCAATTAATGGGAATATCACTTGACCTGTGCTCTAATAAAGTGCAATTACATATGATGGTCAAGCCCTTCAACTCTTTAGCAAAGGTGAATATCAGGTGGACTTAACACTATTAAAAATACACTAAATTAAAATAAAATCAATTTCAAATAAAGTCAACTACAATAAAATAAATTGAAACAAAATTAAAAAAAGTCAAATTAATTTAAATAAAAATAAATTAAATTATTTACCAAAAAATTTATAATTATTGAATTAAGTTTTTATGTTATAATTATTATAACTTTAATTATTATAATAATTAAGTATTAAGGTTGAATTATGTTTTATTATAATAAATTATTTTAAAATAATTTAAATTAAATTAAATTTATTTGTTTTATAGTAATCTGAATTAAATTAATTTTTTTTCATATCTAACTATATTTATATATCAAATAAATTTATGTATTAAATTGAATTATATTTTATTACAATAAATTAATATAAAATAATTTTAATTAAATTTAATTGTTTTAAATTAATCTGCATTAAATTAAATTATTTTTTTCATATTAACTTGAATCAAATTAAATTTTATTATATCAAACTTATATAAAATAATTTAAATTAAATTAAATTTAATTGATTTGTATGAAATTAAATTAAATTTCATTTAATATATAATAAAATAAAATAAAATAAAATAAAATAAAATAAAATAAAATAAAATAAAATAAAATAAAAGAATAAAATTAAATAAAATAAAATACAATACAATACAATATACTAATACAAAATATTATACAATACAGCAAAATAAAATAAAATATAAAATAAAGTACCATAAAATTAAATAAAATAAAATAAAATACAGTACAATACTTTAAAATAAAATAATAACAATAAAATAGAATAAAATTAAATAAAATAAATTACTATAAAATTAAATACAATACAATGAAACTAAATAAAATTAAATTAAATACAATGAAATAAAATAAATCAATTATATATAATACAATAAAACAAAATAAAATAAAATAAAATAAAATAAAATAAAATAAAATAAATTAAAATAAAATACAATACAATACAATACAAAAAAATGAAATAAAATAAATTT